ATCAGGCGCCTCCTAAAAAGGGAAAAGAAAAGTTCATTGAACACAAAGTTTTCAGGTGTCATTCTTTGGGGAGAATACATGTTTATGAAACTGCATGGCATGTGACTCTACATAATTTTGGAGACATTTCTTTTAAGACACAACCTTTCTGTCTCTTATTACAAAGAGTCTGTATCTTACTCATTTGACAAAAATCCTACACAGTATTTTAAAGTAACATACCAGATCAGAGCTGTAATCTGTATAAAACACAAATGTTCAAAGCAAGGAAAAATTGAGTTTTTATCAGTGAAACTTTTAATTTGTGTTAATTTTATCGTTATCAATATTCACCTGAAGATCATAATGATTCAGGATGGTTCGCAGAGCCTCTGATATCTTGCCAGTCCGTGCAGCCTTCTGTCTGTATAGAGCCATAAGTCGTGGTGTGTGTCTGTCAAGTTCAGCGTAGAACTGGTTCCGCAGGTTGATGTTTGTGACTCGGTGGAACTCTGCACAAATCTAAAATAAAACAGGACAAAAACATCCAACATGAAGCCAAATTACTGACCAAATTTACATCTTATCATTAAAGAGGAATTGCCCAACTTCTGTCTAACCTTGTTTTATAGATGTCCTATGAAGTTTTTTTTGTTTTTTTTTAATAAATTGGACCCAAACCACAAGCACAAGTGTATCACAAAGCTGAAATATATTTTTGTTTGTTATCTATTATTTATTTATGTGTTATTTATTTATTATCTGAATCTGAAGAGATCTGCTGAACTTGCATTGTTTCATGTTAAACTGAAGAAGAAAAAAAAAAATCAAAGCACAGATACCTGAGAGTCAAATCGCAGAGCAGGCCATTTCTCTAAGAAGTTCTTTACCATTGGGTTGTCTTGAACAATTTCATGGCGATGAAGTGCGAAGGTAGTCTGCATCAGTTTTTCAATCATTACTTTGTTGGGCTCAGTCTTCTCAACCTCATTTTTTATCTGGACTCTCATATCCTCCAAACTGACCTGATCTTCTCCTCTTGGAAAGTTTGGGAGGTAGTTCACCTCAGCTCTTCTGGCTCTTTTTATGTTTGAGTGGGGATGCTCTCCTTCAGGTTTGTTAACACTCCTCCTGCCAGCGTTGACAGACACCTCCACACATCCAGATCTGGCTAGCTTGGTGCGATAATTTCCCATCTTGAATTTTAAACTGGTCTTCCAACCATAACTTCCATTCCTACTTCCAGGCTCTTTAAGACATGGATGAGTGGTAACAAGAGCTTCTGCTGCCAAACCGACATCTCCATCACTCGGATAGGCTTTTAAGGTGTGCATCGCTGAAGCCATGGTCTCTAAGATGTTGTGCTTTTGGGCTCGAGTCAACTTCAGATGTTTTCCAGACATCTCAAAGGCTCTATTTCCCTCCTCAAGGAGATGTTCAACTTCGTAAGAAAAGGTAGGTACTGGGAAAGTGTCAGGCCAACACTTCAGACACTGAGCTAAAGGCACATGAGGAAGGATGTCTGTATCAGAACTTGCACAAGAACTGACATCACTTTCAGATCTCACTACTTTTAGTGTGCCCTTCTCCGGCAACTCTTGAATATCCAGTAGGCAGGTAAGTTGCCCATCAAAGTCGGGGTCTTCATATTGTAAGGTAAACTCAAAGTCCAGCCTTGGGTTGAGCTTCTCACAGAGTATGGTGATTAGTTCTTCCACCGACTCAGGCCGCTTAATTAGAGAAACCTTCACAACAACATCTGTGGTGAGGTGAACTCTCAGCAGGAACTTTTGGGATACTGCCATCATCCTATGAATAAAACAAGGAATGGAGATGATTTTTAAAAAATGAATCGTCTCATATTAAGAGAACCAGCCTGTACATCATACCATTAACCTTATTATGGTCAGTGATAATTATATACTCAGCCATCATTACAGCTTTCAAAAATTTCAAAAGTACACTGTACATTTCATGACAAAATAAACACTTAGCATGGCAAAAAAAACAAAAAACTTACAATTACTGCTGTTTACTTTGATTGCAGTCTTGAATTCTATGGCCGATCATCCAACAGGCCAAAACATAGGTAAGAATTTCAGATGTTACAAAGTCACAGGCCATCATTCCATTTAGTCATGGTAAACAGTAACCCTCTTTTAGTTTTAAGTTTTTACCATATAATCAACATTGTCTCACCATGTATAAATTCTATTAAGTTGGAAAAAAAAGAAAAGAAAAAAAAAAAGCACAGAATACATATGAATTTACACTGCAGTTATTTTTAAAAACCAAGCCAAACTGCGGGATAAATCTTTGCAAAGACACATTGTTATGCAATAGTACATACTACATCAGTGAGATACTTGTAATATTACACAGAACTTCTACTTACAAACTACTTCTTTTACAGGCTGCTGCTTAATGGTATTTTCTTTATTTTACCTCACACACAGCTTCTGCATTGTGAAACTGCAATGATAATGAAAGGTATCTTGTGCTTTTCATCTGAAGTTTATATATCCAATTAGAACTTGGTAATTAAGTTTGGATTTACTTTGATTTCATAAACAAGTAAAAAACAAAACAAAAAAAACCCTCACTAGTACATTTTTTACATTTATCTGATAAAACAGTCTATTACACATGTATATCACAAAAATAAATATATGTACAACATATGCAAATTACATAATGCAAATACACTTTCAGTGTAGAAGTATAAAACGTTTTGGTGTCAAAAGTAGTTTTCCTTCCACATAGTATGCAGAAAGGGGCAAGTTGTCATTAAACTCAGACATAGAGTGGATAGCTATACAACTTGGGTAGAGTTCATATGACCTTACATGTTCAATGTAGTTTGACTTGTGATCTTTGCAAAGAAATGCAACATCATTGTTAACAAGGAGAATTTTTTCGATCTTGCTAAACTGTGGCAGTCCCCCATCCTCCCCCACAGACAAAAACATTCCAGGACTGTAAGTTGTACCATCAACAATGAACTTTGATGTGCTGTAAATTATTCTGCTGTCGGTTTTATTCTTTATGTATTCTTGTGCAACTTCAGGAAGATCTGAAACCGTGACAGAAGTGACATGCGACGACTGCTGATGTGGCTGAAAAAATGTTGGTGCACTGAGGTGGTAGGCCACCATGTGTTGGTGCCGTGTTGCTAATGTTTGCAACACATTCTTAAAGTTTTGTGTGTCATGTATTACCCGCTTGAAAAACCGATGCTTACCCTCAAACCTCATTGTCCATAAATGGACAAGTGGTCCAAAAGCACGTATAAGAGCTGGGTAGTGCTCTACATAATGATGTTTTGGAAGCAGTCTGAATTCAGGAAAAATGTCCTGCAGCACTTTTCTGTGTTCATCTATCTTTGACTGCAAATACTGTATGGTCTCTTCATCAAATCTTGGGCACAGCATTAGCTCAACAACCTCTTTCAAATCCATTAACACTGTCCAAGAAGCATCTTCCTCAGGAACTACATTACCAATCATAAATGGCAGTAGTCTCAGCAGTGTGCTATTCTCATGGCCATTGCCACCAATGGTTCTCTTTGTAGAGAAGTTCTTTGGGATGGGCTTTGGTTTGTCAATTTTGTCTGAATGCTGATAAGGAAAAGACAAGATTTTCCTATTCAAATGCTCAAGAGTAAAATATTTCTGCCGAATCATCTCCTGCATACACATGGCCAACTCCACAGGTACAATGCCTTCAAAAAGGTCATGCAGGACATCAGGCGGGAAGCCTGTAGTTGTATGAAAATACTGCAAACTTTCAGTCAGGATGCATTTCCCTTGCACACCTTCCTGACTATGACCATCCCCATGTAGGACTTCCTGCATATTATGATCATAACTGGCTTTTGTTCTGAGGCTGAACTTGCCATCTCCAACATCATGAGACTGAATTAGGTCTCGTGTTGCATTGCAGAACCTGCAAATAAATCCTGTTCTGAAAGACTGGCTAAACCCAGCCAATGAGTGGGCTGCCAGATTGTCAGATACAACGCACAAGACAGTCCCTTGAACAGATTTACCAAGGCACTCAATAAATACACCATCTTGCTCAAGAGTTTTTAGATCTTGTAGCAAAGGACCAAATGCTCTTTGATAGCCACACCTTTGGAGATCAGGTACCTTACATAGTGCTGCTAGCTGAATGACATGTAGACCTGAACGGTATTTACTTGGCAAATCAGCAAACACCCAGTATACTGCACACAGTTTGTGTATTTTCCTTGAAGTGCCCAATGGATTAGCAATTTCAAGGTCATCAATGTACAGTATCAGTGGCAGTGAAAGCTCTGATGAAGATAGTAACTCGTTTTCTTGGAAATACGACCCATCTTTATGGCTTGTGTAAAGACCCTGATGTGAGATATTTGTTTCCATAATTCTGTTCAGAATGTCTGTATGTTGGAACATTTTTTGGATCATCTCAAGTATAGGGACATGAATTGCTGTACAACCAGGCTCTAAGAAATACTGAACAGGCATTACCACAGAGTAGTTTTTTTCTATAAACCTTTTTCTACGTTTATTTGAACAAAGGTCCTCCCCTTTTGCTGTGGCACAAGCAAAAATATTTGCATCATTTACAGCATTAAGCAAATCATTAAGGATTGTATCGGAAGGAGTAATCTGATGCCTTTGTAAAACATCGTGCAGAGTTACTTTAATGAGGGGCTTTGACAAAGAAAATATTTGTGTCAGAGTATCAACTATTTCCTGAGAAGCCATTTCAGAAACATCAAGGATACTTTCCATCTTCAGGAACAGTGAAGAGAAATTCTTGTGTAGCTGGGCTCTTAATTGCCTGGTATCACAAACACTGTCCACTTCAGGAAAAGCCAATGCTTCCAAATGCTCATCATTAACATCCTCAAGGGCAAGCTCACCAGTGCTTTCCACTGGGCTGCTGTTTTCTGTTGACACAAGGTCATCGCAAATGTCCAGACTACCTGTGTGTGCTCTACTTTTGTGTGTATTAAAGGATGAATACACATTTGTGAGGTAACTACAGTTTTTATAAGGGCAAGCAACATTCTCATGGTTTTTTAGGTGTTTTCGTAAATGACTGAATAATGCAGTCTCTGAGAAAGGCTGCTTTAATTTGCACAAGGGACATGTAAAAAACACAAGAGCTTCTTGTGCACCTTGACTTGCACCAGTTTTCGATGGCTCATTGTGAATCCGTGACAAATGGATTTTCAATGCATTAAATGATTTGAATGTACAAATCCTGAAAGCAGTTATCACCACAAGAACTGCGTACCTCATCTTTGCATCAGTATCCCAAGTTAAACTCAATCACAACGCTGGAGTGGTGGGCTAAACCTCCAATCTGAATTGAGCGCAGCTATCAACTGTTTTTTCGTAATTAAAAGCAGCTGATGTGCAGTGTACCTTTAGCTCACAGAGTGCTTGCAGGTGAAGCAGATAGAGCTTTATTTTTGTTATTTGGTAACCTGTGGACTCCATGTTCTGACTAGGGGTGGGTTTTTATAATCGATTTATCGATTAAAAATGATTCTGGCTTGGATAACGTAAAATCAGTTAGATGTCGCCTTTCTCACAGTCGGGGCTGAAAGCCGACAGCTCGCTGATTCTGATCTGTCGGCGGGTCCGCGCTGATTCTAAAGCTGTTAGTTTGATGTCTCTCCAAACAATATTGACCGAACCAGCAGCAAAACAAGATCCAAACTACGCTTCACATTAACATCGTCATGTACTCACTCTGACTTTTACCGTTTTGCTTCAACCACGATGCACAGCTCTCTCTCTCTCTCTCCCTGTACTTCAAGAACAGTTTCCAGTCTAAAAATCTGTTTTCTGCATTACTCGCTTGCTTGTTAGGCACAAGTCTACCGTTGTTTACAGCGCTGTCGGCCGACATTTTTTTTCTTCGTTTTATATACTTCTGAAAAGAAAACCTAATTTCTGCCGTTCAATACTGAACAAATTTAAACTTTTTTAAATTATGCAAAACGCTTAGCCGTGTCTCTAATAAAACCGCTGTAACTTCAGAGGTAATGTTCATGTGTTGATTAATGGTTTTCTTTCGTTTTTGATGTACTGCAGAATATTTTTATAAAATCCCAGGCCAGGAAAATTGCCTTCATGTTTTTCTGTGTTTTATCCTCAGCTACTTTGACACAAAGGCATCTGCTGTGATGCTCACACCTTTGATAAAGTCTTGCGTGTGTCAGCTTCCTTTTTATAGATACAAAAATATGTAAATGTACTGATCTGAATTATAATATTTCTGACTGTCAAAATTTCCCAGATTCAAATCGAATTGAATCGAATCGAATTGAATCGAATCGATTCGGGACCTTGTGAATCGGAATTGAATCGATTCTAGAAATCAGTGACGATACCCAGCCCTAGTCCTGACACACAGGCTGGTGTTTGTACAGCTTCCACAAACACAATAATTTTGTATTTTTAAGAAAAATGAATGCAATATAATCATAGTAAACACACTAACGCTCACAAACACCACCTACTGCCGACAGCGCATAACATACAACTCCCTTCAGTTACATCACACGTCCAGATTATGAAACTTTCAGTCAAAATTTGGGTTTCTAAACATTTTTAATTTTGAAATACCCCAATCAACGTATCAAGACGTTTTTTGGGGGACATTTTATATGCATTTCAGCAACTACTGAAATCTGCACTTTATGAATGGTTTCTTCTAAAAATTAGAAATGATTGAGTCATTTCACATCATATGAAAATATTAATTTTTAATACAAATTTGGCCCTACAAAAATGGAAACTCAGTAACAAAGATAATGGAGATTCTCTAAACACGAGCGAATATCACAGTAAAATTGTTGATTGTGATTTACACATTGGATGTATCCTCAGTGATTTGGTACAATTATACAACATTTTATAAGAACTGAACAACTGATGAAACAACTTACTTATGTGACCACATATGAAGTGTTATAACTTACCACAAAAGGTGAACTGTGCCACTGACCCTTGGTAGATCTGCACATGATAAAAAAAATGCATTATAAATACTAACACAGCTATTAATAATTAGGGGTACATTTAAGATGTTAATGTCACAAAATAAAATAGACTGGTAGAAAGAAGTACAAGGAAATGGTAATGGGGGGAGCCATGAAAATATATCTTTTCAACATGATTCAGTGTGACAAAGCCAGGGCATGATTTAAAAAAAAAAAAACAGGTCTTTTAACCTACAAATGTTTTAATGGCCATGAAGAAAGGACTCTTCATTAGATCTTTCAACTCACCTGTGTTTACTGTCTCCACCTGAAATTACTTGCAGTCTGAAGTTTCTTTCTTCGGTCTTCAGCCTTGGAATAAAAAAATAAAAATACTGAAAACCTTATCAGCACACTAAATATACAACACCTTGCTATATTTCAATCTGGGTATTACTTTTAATTGTTTAAGATAGAAGTTGCCACTGCTAGCTAAGTCACTTTTGAATGATGCTAATGAGAAGAAAAAAACCCGGCCGAACAATGAGGCTGCTGTTGTAAAAACGCCAACTTTCTTGCGTTGGCAACGGGTCGTTAAAATATCACTAAGACACTTTCTTTATGTGCAATTCTTATTAAAACTGTGTTTTAATCGGTTAAAACTGTAAAACTGACGATATCATCGGTTTGAAAAAGAGCGCGAACAACAGCGAACAACATTCACCACCTGGGTCTGTGCTTTTTAACACAACAGCGCATTCAAAAACAAGTTATTGGCTGCAACATATTAATATACTTGCTTTTTTACGGAAAAAATAAACATAACGAAGGTTCCGTTTTACTTACAAGTTTCTCCAAATGTGCTCTCCAGTCGCTCGAGAAGGGCAGCCATATTGAACAGAATTTTCTGTCAACGTCGTTCAGGTTAGAGAGAAAACGTCATGACGTCATGACGTACACATGCGGAGCTCGGAAAAAAAACATTTACTCAAAAATCATAATTAAGAAAGCAGTATTTACTCTTAACTTCTAAGCCATGTACAATTATAACTGTTTGAATCGTTAAGAGAACAGAAAAGTTTTAAGTTGTTTCAACTTTGTGACGCATTTCAATTGTTGTATCCACAAACTTTATAAGTCAGGTGGACTGTTGGGGTTTACAGTGTGTATATATCTATCTACTTAGCACTTTTAATTCTTATTCTTATTTTTATTTTCATGTCTATTTAAGCGTAATTTATGACAGTATGTTTGCACTGAAGCACCGCAGCAATTTCCTAATGTTGTAAACCTGCTCAACATTTGGCAATAAAACCCTTTCTGATTCTTTCTGATTCTGATTCTGAAATGACATCTGAGATCTCTGTCCAGAAGAATACAGTCCTAGGGACAGCAAAGACCCTCAACCTCCAAGGCCTCTGGTAGAGAACCTGAGATTGAAGGCTAAAAGTCTGCCCACATGGGCGAGTGGGGAAATTAAAAAAAATATATTAGTGTTCATCACAATATTTCTATCAAAACTTCAAAGTCGTAGTTGTGCAACGTTATAGACTGATGTGATAATAAAGTGTATCTTTTCACACTTTCCTGACTGCTGTTTATTTCTTACACTAATTGCTCATATAAAAACAGTAAACTAGTTGAAACATCACCA